GGGGGGGGGGGGTTAGAAAGAGGAGAAATTCAAGTGGAAGAGTGAAACACAATGATTCGATTAGATAGAGACAAAAGTGGTTTGGTTGGTCCGTGCTGTGGTACCGTACTTACTCTCCTACAAGACACCCAATTTCCATTTATAAATAAATAAGAAAAAAACAAAATAAAATCTATATAACCATCCCTTTTTTTTTCTCCTCTATGCCCCCACGCCACGCCCCAAATAAATTACTTTGAAAAATCTATGCTTTTCCACGTTCAAGAGTTGACTTTTTTTAACGTGGGTTTATGGGGAGTATTTAGGTGATCTAAAATAAATGAATATTACAGGAAATACTCAACGATTTAAGTCTAATATTAAACCCATTTATACTTTTACTTTTTTGTAAATTTAGATTAGGTGAAGTCACATGCCTCGGGACCTGTGGTAATGTTTTTTAAATTATTTTTCAATCACGATACATAAAATTGTTTCGGTCACATCATTAAGGATGCCAACTGCCAAATGTTGCGATCACCACAGAATATCATATCACAAGAACAGTTTGGCTTTTTTTAGTGTATAATAATATAATAAAAGTGCTTAGCACTTTGAATGAATGAAAACAGAGGAGGGTACTTATGCTCACTCACATTCAATGGATGAACACAAAAGATTATTTTTTTATTAAAGTGGACACAAAAGTTGCTTTGCTAATTGATGTTTGACAAATATATATATATATATATGTATGTATGTATCTCCATCCACTACAATGGACAGGCATAACCATCCAAGATATCAATATTGGCATGAAAAAAAAAAAAAAAAGATTCCACAGAGTTCATTCTGAAAATTTTCCTAACTATTTTAGTTGCAATGTGTGTAAGCAGAAGTTGGAGAAAAAACAGAGAGAAGAATAAGGGATAGTGAATCTGGGTACCTTTTTGGTGGATACTACCATGCCTAAAGAAAGGCTATGGAATTCTTCAAGCACACCGCATTAGACATAAGCCCAAATTCCTGAAGGGGGAACAGCTTTTCAATGTCTTTCTCTCAAGTTAGAAGCGATTTGTGTTGGCCATTGGAAAAAAGAATTTTAATTCTTAGGCTTGACGAAGTCTACAAGGTCACACTGAAAATAAAGAAAAAGAAAATCAAACCGATGAATTGTTTGTTTTGGTCGGTTTTGTCCTCTCTCACGCTTGGTTCAGTCATATGTGCATCTCAAGTGGTAGCTTCTACTTCAGGGTCGGTTTCGACCGGGACAGCAGGGGAACTGCTGTTTCTGCTGCTCCTCAGACGCGAAGATACATTGTCAATGGATGAATTCAGTTGGCTGATCTTCTCATTCAAAGTCTCTCTTGTTTTCTGATAACAAACATTCAAAACCATTCTAATGGAAAGGGTGATAATAGGTTAGAGAGAGAGAATGTGAGAATACTCCGAGTGAGATTACCTCTAAACCTTCATCGTAGTAAGCTGGCTGACTGGGCCTCGTGAAGCCATTTTCATCTTCATCCAGCAATGATCTTCGGATCTGAATACCCAAAAGCAAGATAAACGCTTTGATGAGTTCAAGACTCGGAAAATCAAAACTAAGAACCAGAGCTAAATGATGAACTGAACATCAAAGAGAAAATGGTGCTCTGATATGAGAGGGAAATTCAGAGCAATAACGTCAATATGTTTTGTATAATCTAAATAGAGAAATGAACAATAAAATTAGAATTCCTTTTTGATTGAATGACTATACAATTATCCATCTATAGTGTTTTTCATGTGATTCGAATCCAGAAGCTTTATGAACAACTTCAGGTTCAATATTGCTGTCAAGAATATTGTTGCACAGTTAACTTAGCAACAAGAGAGAAACTCGTCATTTCAAAGAGTATATAGAGAGGTCACAATGTGATTAACTAATAAAATAACACTGGATAGACCTCCTTGGATGAGCATGAGCAAGAGAAAACATTAAGCCAAGATCCAAATACATTAGCAGATTAGCTACGCGTGTTTTCCATCAAATTATCAGTATTAAGCACAAGTTCATTACCTGCGGAGCAAAGATATATGCCACAGTGCCAAACACAGCACCTCCGAGAAGAAAACCGGCTACAAAATCACCAGATCCACCCCTATTGCTGTCACAAAGGTTAAAAAAAATTATCCTTATCAGCCAATGGCCATCACTCATTTAGAAATCCATGCAACATAGTCCTTTTCAAACAGCTTTTTAACTGCAAACACAACAGAGAATACCGAAATGAGGTTCGAACCTAAAGGAGTTATGCTGCTACACAGGGTGACTATATATATATATATATCTTCTATCTGTACTTCCTATATATTAACAATGATATAAATGGAACAGCCACCACATTTCTGTGACCATACCCCACACTAGCATCCATCTTCCAAAGCTCTGACCAGTGAAAAAAACTCATCCTTCCTTTGTTCAAAAAAAGAAGAAAAGGCTAATTCTTGCGATAAACTCAAATGTGTAACCACCACTGCAACAGGAGAAGAAAAGATACTGAAGCACACCGGTAAACAGCGGAAACTGAAAATTTGCGACCGCCACCCACTCGGTTCGATTTCCTTTGAATAGTCAGCCCACTGGTTTTACGAATAGAGCCGAACTTGGCAGAGAGGCTATACTCTTTGGCATGAGATCCGCCTACACCATCAAGGTCACCAAACAAAATCATAAAAGCCGCTTATACAAGTACAAGAAGGCTACATGGAGTACTTACAAGAGCCCCTACTGATGTAAATACCCATCAAATCTCATGCCAACCAACTAAAATATCCACTTGAAGACGCGCTGTTCTACAAAATAATCAACACCAAGAATTCAAATTCATATCCAAGACAAGTATCCAACGTGTTAACTTCACTCCACTATCACACGACAAGAAGACGCTCCAAATACAGACCAGTCTCATTTTTCACCTGAATTCGAAAAAAAATAATTGTTATCTTATAAACAAAAAACATCAACACAAATCCCGCTAACCATCCATAGGCACAAACGCAAGATCCATGACAAGAAACTCAAAATACTGATCGAAAGTAGACATCTGAAAAATCCGTCAGCTAAACCCTTGTATTCCGGATCAGTTGAGAACCACCCCAAGAGTTGACAAACACAAGCGCGGCTACATGGAACTAATATTCGAGTCGAGTAACAAAGCCCAGAATTATCACTCATAAAAAGATCAAAATTACGAAGGGAGGGATGAAATGAGGTGAATACCTGAGACAGAAACAAGAGAAATGCATGACGCCATGGGAAATGAACTGAAAGAGATCCGACAAAAAAAAAAAACAGAGAGAAGACTGATTTGGATTGTAAATGATTTCCTCCCCCGAGAAATGTTGAGTTACGACGGTATAAGATGGATTTCCGAAATTACCCCTGAAGCCCGACAAAAACGGGCTTGTAAAGTTTGTCTATAAGGCCCATAAAGGCCCAATAACAATAGGCCCATTATTATTGTCATTTAAAAACAAACGGTAAGAGTTAACAGTTACCGACCATTTTTAACTGTACAGTGTGTATTATTTATCCACCTGCTTCCTTTGGCCAAAATTATGTAATCAACAGAGAGAGGTAAACCTCCCGAAACAGTTTTCATCTTTACTGTCGCTTTTGTATGTACACAAGCAGTGATTTTGTTGGTCTCAGGAACCTAAAGTGACAGACAACACTAGCACAGTTTTTTTAAGGTTATTTCAGTGAGGTTCCTGACAAAAAAAAAAAAAAAAAAAAAAAAAAGCAGAGAGAGGGTTGGGTTATAAACAAGAAGCAGAACACAGCTCCACTTCTCTCCCATGTCGAAGAACAACCACCTCTTCCACAATACCTCTACAACTTGTCGGAAAAGTCCCTGAAGAGAAACAGAGGAGGAGCATTCACATTCTTCTGTCTTTCCTCTTCCGAACTAGACACCGGTGGTCCCTGACTCTGCTGCTCCTCCGGGAACGGGAAGGCGAGGGATAGAACCAGAGATGCGGCTTCCTCCTCGTGTTTTTCCCGACTGATCATCTGATCCCGAGGAGGAGGAAGTTGGCTTCCGTATTCATTGACCTTTCCAGATAAGAAAGGCAAGACTCCAACGTTTCCTGTTGTTGCTGTTGTTGTTTCATCTGCTCCTAAAGCGAGCTCGAGATTTGGGACTAAACCATCATGCATTTGTCTGTTCCCGGACATTGGTATTATGGGATTGTCTTCCATTTCAATGTCTTCCTTCCCATCATTCAAGTCCAGTGGAAACACAATCCTTTCAGCTGCATCAGGATCCTTCTCGATGATCTTCTCTTCACGGGATCGATGATCTCCCATTTCCGTCGAGGAGCTGGGACCTACGTCATGTTTTCTTGATGCAGAATCGTTATGAGATGAATTCCCAGATATGCAGAGACGTTCATTTTCCCCTCGAGGATCGATCTTCAGCTTCTTATTTGCAGACCCTTCGCATATACTTCCACTATTCGAGTCATTCAGCCACACTTTCTCATCCACACCTGAGGAATCATCCATTGCAGGCTCTGTCAGATCCAGAAACAGACGTTTCCGTTGATCGGCCTGGCCTCTGCCCCCATACCGACCCTCAAAGTCAGTGGCAGTAAAAGGTGGATTCTCACCACTAGCTGGCGTTTCCTTTTCTTTCGCTCCAATGCTAATACCTATCTTCTTTTGTTCCTCGGCATGTTGAACCCTTTTCACTAGACCATCTCCAGATGAAGCAGAGGATGTCTTCTCACCATCATTAAAACCATCCTCTTTAGAAGTTTTTTCTTCCTGTTCAAATTACGTGAATCGATCAGTATGTGTACCACAGGAGACGGGCACAAAGATCAGAGACTAGGAAACCATCACAACCTAATTACCATCTAAACAGTGTAGCCTACCAAATAAACGGCCTCAAAGCATACAAAATGTTATGTGTTTACTGTGCAACAATACTCTAAAACATGCCAAATAGAGCAGACATAAGAAAAGGAAATTACAGAAGATACACCATGCCACTACAATTTATGGAAAAAAACCTTGTGAAATTTGACAGTCACTATGGTAAAAAGAAGAGCAACAGGAAACCACGAAATAGAGGCTAAAAGAATGAACTCCTGTTAAAAGCAGACCACAAGCTCTTCATGAAACTATCTAGAAAAAAAATAAGAGATTAAAAGTTACTTTAACCCGAGATGACAATGGAATATTAGACTACCCAGCGAAACATAAGACAGATATGCATCATATCATTCCAGGAGAGAACATCCCACCTTGGGGCATGATTGTGTACTGCTCGACATAAACCTCGGTGAAAGATTGGAATCTTTGTTGTTCACTTCTGAACCAATGGATGAGCGCTCAATCGAAGATTCTTTGTTATTTCGATCCTCGTTTCTAACTACGCCAACCTTACGTTCAGCTTCAGTTGTGCAGCAAGAGGTCTCATGTGCAGATGGCATATTCTCCAAATGCTTCAAGGATGGATGCGTTCGATTCGAGACATTTGCTCCTCTATCATGTAGCAAAACATTTGAAGTTGGAGGAAGAGATGGGTTGTTCTTCAGCTGGTCCGAAGAACTTTCTTTTCTTCCCCTGAATACACCCCAAAGGAAAAATAACATGTTCCAACCTGCCAGGGCAACAAATATATATATTTAATTAATAAGGATAAACAGTACCAATTTATAGAGCACAACACAGCACCACACGGGAACCAAATTTTAAAATTTTTATCGTCATGCTCATGTAACAACAGCAAATACAACAATGTTGTCAGGAAAACACAATATCTGCCTCTATGGGAGAGGAAAAGAAAAAGAAAAAGAAAAAATGAAAGTTTCTCATATATTAATTAATAAAAAGACACCTTCAGTAGGCAGAAGCCAGATCTATTAGGAAAGAAGAAAAAGAAAAGTAAAAAGCTTCATTCTTTTCATCTCTTCTCCATTTCGAAGAATAACATCAACTATACATAGCAAATGATGAAATTTTGGTAGGACACAGTTGTCACAAAATGATGTGCACAACATGAAAGAATTTCGGTAATCATTCTTACGCTGGCAGAGCTGGGGAAGCTGGTTGGATGCAAAAATCAAGAGCTCAACGCCGCCAAAGTTTCCTTTCAGGGCTAAATCTTTCTTAATCATGTTGTCTACGAGGGGCTTATAATTTTTCTCATAGCTGTATATCACAAGCAACAATGACAAAGGTCACCAGCAAATAAAATAAAACATTTAAACCGCGGGGGATCAAAGCATACAATCACGTGAAAAATTAAAACAGGCGAATGTGCCTACCTCTCAATGTCCTTGGCGAAAAAGAAAAGGGCTATATGGTCTTCCTTGGTTCCATCTCGAAATTGTGCAGGCCATGTACTTAGCCGAGGCACTTCATTCAAGGAGACTTTCAGTGGGAATTTATTAACTGCCTCAAGAACCTTAGGTGACGCTAAGGTCGATAGATGTGCTTGAATTCCACTATGCGTCTCCAATAGATTTCTGCTTCTTTGCACCTCAAAGTCCCCTCTAGCAAAAGAAGTAAAATTTTAGCTACAAGAACTTCCAAATTATATGGACAAATCTACCTTGAGTTATTCTGATTAGCAATATAAGCAGAACAGAGATATTCTATTCACAAATCGGAAAGGGAAACATACTGCCATATATACTCATGCTCTGGTATAGCTGATGTTTTTGACATATCATTTGATGGTACGAAAGGCCAATCTCTCGGGATTGGTTTTATGGAGGGATAATTGACTTCGAGATCTTCAGATCGGGGAGAATACACTGTATCAGCAGCAGAAAATGCAAACTGCTTCCCATTTGTTGTGATTGTCTGTTTGTATGGATCAGAAGCAGTCCGTAAGTTTGGTTGCCCACCTTGCGGACCTTCAAATGACGTAGAATTCTTAGTTGTCTTCAAAGGCAATTGACTGTGAGAAGTTTTATCACAACTTGGTTCCATGTTGGACACTGAAGATCCATCTGGTTGCTCTGATCCTCTGTTCTTGCCAAAGCTGGGCTTCTTACGTAGAGCTGCATCAACTGCTGCTCTCAACCTATTACCCTTATTTATGTCCTCTCTATAACTTCTTGTAGTGCAAAGATCAGTATCAGAAGCACAGGAGGTGTCAATTGGTTCTGCCGCCTGACTTTCTTTTTGAGATGCTAGGTCTTTAGGACCAGACAACAAGCTAGACCTTGGGCGATTAATTAAGACATCCTTGCTCTTTTCCCCCATCTCACCGGATTCCCTTGATCTGGGTACGACATCCTGAGTGCTTACATTGGCATGGCTAGTCAATCGACTCAACCCCTCAGCTAACCCTGAAATGGATTGTGGTTCATCCTTGCGGTTGGTTTGACTTGAAATCTGCTCGCTTGAATTGCCCTTCTCATTTATGGAAGATTCTCCCACTGCAAAATCAGAAAGCCATCACAGGACTCCAATCATCACACCATAAAAGATATCAATAATCCATTCAGAACAACATATGTACATAGAATCCCATGAAACATAGATCATCAAATGAATCGATGTATCAAAGAGAGCACATATCATACCAGAAGCAACTGGATTTTCTGCACGGCTTCGACTAAGATTGCTGGCTTGTCTTGTCAAGCTACCTAATTTAACATCAGCCTGCAAACCCTTCAAATCACGGGTATTTTTGGCATGAAAAAGAGAAGAATTGCCACGTGAAATTAACTTCTGGTCGCCCATGGGTGCTGGGGAGTTGACTTCAGCACTCTGATCTTTCAGTTGCCTACCTTTTACTTCTTGG